TGCTAAAATTACACCTCAGCTCAGTAATATGAGATGACATCTGTATGACAGGTTTGCCTTTAGTTTAGCAGAAAGCGGTGGACTATTTTTTAGAGTTCTTTTATTTTCTGTTTTAAAATAATCTTTAAGTTTATTTTTGGAGTTTTCTTTTTATTATTTTCTTAGAATTTACTTTCTTTTTTAAGCCATTGTGGCAAAAAGACATATCTACATAATTCTATTTTATTATTAGTGATATTTTTTCAATAAATTATCGTTTAAAAATTCTCATTTGTTTGTAATCGACTCGACGTTCACCCATCCGAACCCGTTTTGATACTGTCGAAGTGTCGAAACCGTCGAAATTATTTGATTTTTAATCGAACCAAGCCAAAATTTATTAGAATTTACCGCGACGTTCTATTTAAATGTACACTGGTAGACTGTATTTCAGCCGGCTAAGAATTTAACATTGATTTCCCTATTATGCGCGAAAATTTTCCAACACGGTATGTTGATTAGTACAAAGTCAACACATTTTGTTTGTGAAGATCATTTTAATATAAGTATTAATTATAATAATTAGCTTGCTTAGTAAAAATAATTAAATTTTTTAGTTTGAAAACGATATGGAAAATTACATGTATTTTAAAACAATGGCTAATTCCCAATAAAGCAAGATGTTGTACCTAATATCTTCGACTGCCAAAAATTTCAAAGCGTTAAACACACTGTACAAGCAAGAACAATATTTTTAAAAAGACAGCGGTAAACTACTGTCTAGGATTTGTCTAGTTGTTCTAAAAGTACTCGGAATGAACAGAACTATGATATGGATGATGTGAATTTGACAATGGATAAAAATTTAAACAACACTATTACAAATAAGGCCTGTCATAAAAAATTCAAGTTTATATAAACATAATGCCCAAACTTTTTTCAAAACAAGCTTAGTGTGATTTGACTCGTTCGGGACAGTTACCATATGATTTTACTAGTAAATTAGATGACACTCTTCCTATTTCTTCAAGTGATTCTTCAGAATTTGTGACTACTTGATCGGGATCATTTTTTGTTAATTCTGAGTCAACTTGGTCTAATGAAAAAGAGAACATTATAAAAAGGGTAATGCATGTTATAGAGCAAAATCCAAAACTTACATAGGTAGGTATTAGTTATTATTTAGGTATTCCTAAATATTTTTACGAACATAATCTCATTAATCGATAACCAAAATATTATACTTACAATTAGCATTAATTATTTATTATAATTACCCTATATAATCAATTAAACATAGTCGTTAAAAAGACGAAACGATCGCGAATGCAATGCAAGTTAAGTGAATGCGAAGCGGACAGCGGAGAGATCGCATGCAGTGACGTCATCATCGTACTATCGCGGAGACAAATAATCGCATCTTTAAACTCGAATAATCAAAGAACCGCTGATCGGATCAACTTGAAACTTTCAGTAACCATTTTTTTGACCTCTTCTTTATGTATATAAAGTTTGATCAAATTCTAAATTTTATCGAATGAGCCCATTGTAGGTTTTTTTTTGTGTTATTAAAGAAAATTGTGTAATTTTTTTGAAAAAACCTCGAAATATTTTAAGAATTTGAGAGTTTTTCGAAATTATTCAAATTAGAAAATTGTATAAGAGTGTTTTCTATAAAATGGTGAAAATTTCGTTTTTCTATCTTGAATGGTTTTCGAGATAATTGGAGTTTTTTTGTGTTATTAAAAAAAAGTTGTATAATTTTTTTGAAAAAACCTCGAAATATTTCGGAAATTTGAGGATTTTTCGATATTATTTAAATTACAAAATTGTAAAAGAATATTTTTTCTCTAAAATGGTGAAAATTTCGTTTTTCTATCTTGAATGGTTTTCGAGATAATTGGGGTTGTTTGTGTTGTTATTAAGGAAAAGTTGTGTATTTTTTTTGAAAAAACCTCGAAATATTTCGGAAATTTGAGGATTTTTCGAAATTTTTTAATTACAAAATTGTAAAAGAATATTTTTTCTCTAAAATGGTGAAAATTTCGTTTTTCTATCTTGAATGGTTTTCGAGATAATTGGAATTTTTGTGGAGTTATTAAAAAAAAGTTGTGTAATTTTTTTGAAAAAACCTCGAAATATTTCGGAAATTTGAGGATTTTTCGATATTATTTAAATTACAAAATTGTAAAAGAATATTTTTTCTCTAAAATGGTGAAAATTTCGTTTTTCTATCTTGAATGGTTTTCGAGATAATTGGAATTTTTGTGGAGTTATTAAAAAAAAGTTGTGTAATTTTTTTGAAAAAACCTCGAAATATTTCGGAAATTTGAGGATTTTTTCGATATTATTTAAATTACAAAATTGTAAAAGAATATTTTTTCTCTAAAATGGTGAAAATTTCGTTTTTCTATCTTGAATGGTTTTCGAGATAATTGGGGTTGTTTGTGTTGTTATTAAGGAAAAGTTGTGTATTTTTTTTGAAAAAACCTCGAAATATTTCGGAAATTTGAGGATTTTTCGATATTATTTAAATTACAAAATTGTAAAAGAATATTTTTTCTACAAAATGGTGAAAATTTCGTTTTTCTATCTTGAATGGTTTTCGAGATAATTGGGGTTGTTTGTGTTGTTATTAAGGAAAAGTTTTGTATTTTTTTTGAAAAAAACCTCGAAATATTTTGGAAATTTAAGGATTTCTCGAAATTATTTAAATTACAAAATTGTAAAAGAACGTTTTTCCTATAAAATGGTGAAAATTTCGTTTTTCTATCTTGAACAGTTTTCGAGATAATTGGAATTTTTGTGGAGTTATTAAAAAAAAGTTTTGTTTAATTTTTTCGAAAAAACTCAAAATATTATGACTATATGACGACAATTATGACGTGTGTCGAACTTTATTTTGCACAAACCATAGAACGATATATTTCATAAAGCAACGTTGCCAATTGTAGAAAAACTTCACCAGATTATTCAAAATTTACTTCCATTTTCTATACCGATAGATATCACAAAGCAATGTTGCCAATTGTAGGGAATCTACATCAGATTTTTCAAAATTTTACTCAATTTTCTATACCGATAGATATCATAAAGCAACGTTGCCATTTGTAGCGAAATTTCACCAGATCTTCCAAAATTGACTATTGAACAAGAATGGTCTTTTACTTATTAACCTATCCTTACATTTACACGAATAATTTAATAATAATAATAATAATAATTAATTTTTTTTCTTTTATTTCTAGGTTACACATTCACGCAACACGCGGTGCCTACGTCATTCAAATTCGGCGATGGAAATTCATGAATAACTCAAAAAAAAAAGAAGAAAATAAAATAAAAAAGAAATGTTGTTGTGTAATCAATCCCGAATGTGACTGAATGTAAAATTGACTCTAATTTTGACCAGTAAAGTAGTTATTTGTACAGTTTGATTATAAAAAAAGATATTTTTCATTTTTTTTTTATTATTATTAATTAAGTGCCTTTTTCGATTAGACGTTAATAAGTGTGTGATAAGATAACGGAGAGACGCTCTAAAAAGCCTCTAATAGCTCATCCAAAAAAAAAATAAAATACACTTTTTTGTTCTCGTTTTTCTTGTTTTTTTTTTGTTTTTTTCTCTTTTTCCTGTACATAGAAATTGTTTTCGTATGATACGGGGTGTCCCAATGGAAAGTAGAAAAGTTTCGGTAAAACTAAACCTAAATCTTTTTCGATTCTAGACAGTTCTAAATGATTCTATACAGTTCAAAATGATTCTGGGACGTTCTAAATGATTCTAGACAGTTCTAAGTGAATCTGAACAGTTCTAAATGGTTGTAGACAGTTCTAAATGATTCTAGACAGTTCTAAATGATTCTAGACAGTTCTAAATGATTCTAGACAGTTCTAAATGATTCTAGACAGTTCAAAATGATTCTGGAACGTTCTAAATTATTCTGGGACGTTCTAAATGATTCTAGACAGTTCTAAGTGAATCTGAACAGTTCTAAATGGTTGTAGACAGTTCTTAATGATTCTGGAACGTTTTAATTGATTTTTGATAGTTCTAAATGATTCTAGAAAGTTTTAATTGATTTTTGATAGTTCTTAATGATTCTGGAACGTTTTAATTGATTTTTGATAGTTCTAAATGATTCTAGAAAGTTTTAAACGGATTCTGGAGCCGTTTTAAACGATTAGTAACCCGTAAATGGGCTACTTTTCATTGGGACACCCTGTATTCTCCAAGGCCACCTTTAAAATATTGTACGATCGATTGTAGATTTGTTTATTTCGTCCGGTTTTATTATTTATCTTCTTTTTCTTTTTATACAAATTAAAAGAAGTTTCGTTTATAAATTATTTAATTATTGCATTTTAATAAACGTCTTGCTTTCGCAAAATTTTATTTTTTACTCGACGCCATTTTGTGAAAAAGAAGGATTACGACAAAATGGCGGATAAATTGGAGAATCTGTAAAGAGCTCCCCCGAAGATCCTTCGAGATAATCTTATCTTAATTATCTTATCTTAAATTAACTTTTACACGACGGGACGCCATTTTGTTAAGAAGAACGATAACTACAAAATGGCGGATAAATTGGAGAATCTGTAAAGAGCTCCCCCGAAGATCCTTCTAGAGAACCTTATCTTAACATTATTATCTCATTAATTTATCATTTACACGACGGATCGCCATTTTGTATAGAAGAACGACAACGACAAAATGGCGGATCAATTTGAAAATTCTAAAGAGCCCCCCCAGATATCCTTCTAGAGAACATTATCTTAATTATCTTATCTTTATTATATTATCTTCAATTATCTTTTACACGACGTGACGCCATTTTGCGAAGAAAAAGGATAACGACAAAATGGCGGATGAATTGGAGAATCTGTAAAGAGCACCCACCGGGAGATCCTGCGAGTGAACCTTATCTTAATTATCTTATCGTTATTATCTCATTTTAATTTATCTTTTACATGACGTGACGCCATTTTATTAAGAAGAATTATAACGACAAAATGGCGGATCAATTTGAAAATCTGTAAACCACCGGTTGCTCCTTAAAGGACACCGATCTGGTGGGATTCCCAATTAGGGAAATCCTTCGTGAGAACCTTCTCAGGCTTCTTCTGAAGCTGTTCGTCCTGCGCAAATTCGTTTCTCTCAAAAGGCTCTCGAAAGAGGCTCTTTCGATTAGATTGAGCGTCGTTTCGGGCACCGTCGCGACGTCGACGTCGGGATTTTCTCCAAGCCATTTCGTCAATTTTCTCAACATTTTGATTTGTTCTTCCCCGTTTATCTGAAATATTTAAACGTTTGGCAACGTTGTAAATTCATTCCTAGTTATGTAAAACACGTGGCAAATATGACAAAATGCACATAGTTAGTTCTAGAATGGTTCGGAATGATTCTAGATAGTTCTAAATAGTTCTAAAATCTTCCTGAATAGTTTCAAAATGCACTTGGTTAGTTCTAAAATGGTTCGAAATGATTCTAGATAGTTCTAAATAGTTCTAAAATAGTCCTAAATAGTTTCAAAGCCACCTCTTTAGATCTAAACGTAGAAATCAACGTAGACTTGGCAACGTCGCATTTATCGCGATGTTGCCATCAATATTGACTTACTTTCAAAAGGGCTTGTCGAATTTTGTATTCATTTTTAAAAGAGAGAATCTCCGATGGAACTTTTTTGTTACACAACCAAATGTATTTTTGACTGGAACATTCCGATCGGGTGATTTTGATTCGTTGGATTTGCATCAGAATTTCCACCTGGAATATTTTTATAGACGAAGAAAATGTAAATATTAATATTTACGACGATTCGCGATTAACATTACTACGAGATAACTCGTAGCGTGGCGTCCCGGGCCGGTGAGCGATGGCAAAAAACATGGAAAAAATTTAAAAAGGTGGAAAAATTTAAAAAACATGGGAAAATAGAGAAAAAAAAAAGGAAAAAGTGGAAAAACATGGAAGAAGTGAGAAAAAAAAACATGGAAAAGGTGGCAAACATGGCAAACATGGCAAAAAGTAGAAAAACAGAAAAAATGTAAAAATGAAAAATGTGGATAAATATGGATAAATATGGATAAATATGAAAAATGCGTCAATATCAAAACTTGGAAAAAGTGGAGAATAAATGGAAAAAATGTCTAAAAGTGGAAATAACATGGAAAAGTGAAAAAACATGCAAAAAAAAAGGAGCATATGGAAAGAAGAGAAACAACGTGCAAAACATGCAAAAGCGTGAAGAAAGTGGAAAAACATGAAAAAAGTGGAAAACAGAAAAAATGTAAAAAAGTGGAACACATGGAATAAATGGAAAAAATATGGAAAAAGTGGAAAAGCATTTTAAAAGTGGAAATGATGGAATAAATGAAACAATATGCAGAAAGTAGAAAACATTAATGAAATATGGAATGAATGGATATAAATGGAAAACATAAGAAAAAATACATACAAGAAAACATAAGGAAAAACATTGCAAAAAATGAACCATATAAAAAGTGACAAAATATGGAAAAAGTGTAAAAACAGAAAAACTGGCAAAAGTGCAAAATACGGAAAGAAACATAGAAAATTGGAAAATATGGCAAAAAGTGTAAAAACATAGAAAAAAGGATATAATTCGAAAATTCCGGTCCGAGAAAAGGGGGTGGCTCAATTATAACTATAATTAGTATTACTACGAATTATCTCGTAGCGTGGCGTCCCGGACCGGAACGCGAATTAACTACGAGTTATCTCGTAGTCAAAAGGATTAAATTCCGAATCTTACCTGTTCTATGAATTGGGATATCATTTTCTCCATATCGAGAACTGAAAACCGACTGAACCGGTTTACTAATTAATTAAATATATAATTAAATAAGGGAAATCTAATTAGAGGTTGATAAGGCGGTAGGAAAATTTAATTAATCAATTATTTTATTAATATTTTTATCATTATCGGTTATCAGATGATTCGTTATTTATTTATGAGTAGCCCTGAATGAATTAATAGTAAAAGGGTCTTATCGAAATGTTTTTTTTTTGTTTTAATTTTTTGCGTTCTACGAGGGTTGGATAAAAAGTTCTCTACCTGAATCCTTTAGAACTGTCTAGAACGATTTTGAACACTACAAAATTATTCAGAACTATCCGGAATCATTCAGAACTGACTGAATCGATCCAGAATGATTTGTGTGGTTAAAATGCCGATGCGTTGTTGCCAAATCGTTAGTCTCAAAATTCTGATCTTTGTAGTTTTGACAGGTTTTGACTATAATTTGTTATATTTTTGGGACTTTCCCAGTGATTTTCTTGTCTTGCTTTGGAGCGTTCTAAATGATTCTGGACAGTTCTAAATCATTTTGAGGCGTTTTAGTCAGTTCTAAACGAGTTTGAAACGTTCTAAATGACTATATGGAGCGTTCTAAATGGTTCTAGTCAGTTGTAAATGATTCTGGAGCGTTCAACTGAGTTCTGAATGGTTCTGGACAGTTCTAAATCACTCTAGAGCGTTCTACTCAGTTCTAAATGATGATGGAGCGTCCGAAATTCTTCCAGACAGTTCTCGATGATTTTGCGGCGTTTTAAAACGAGTCTGGAAAGTTCTAAATGATGATGGAGCGTTCTAAATTCTTCCAGACAGTTCTCGATGATTCTGGAGGATTCTTAATGAGTCAGGAGAGTTCTAAATAAATATGATACGCTCTAAATGGTTCTAGATAGTTCTAAATTCTTCCAGACAGTTCTGAATAATTTAAATTAGCCTTGAGAGTTCTAAATGATTCTGGAGCATTCTAAATAATTCTGGAGCGTTCTAAATGGTTCTAATCAGTTCTAAATGATTGATATTAGTACCTACATATTTATTTAGAATTATTAAAAATTAATTAAATTAATAAAAACACATTTCGATCCATCAAATATAATTTAATCTCTATCACCAACCAACCAACAACAACCTTTTATTATAAAAAAAAATATATACTCCTCAAAAATACCCACAATATTTATAATATAGTATAAATATATCACAGTAAATAATAATAATAATAATAATAATAATAAATATAATTTAACAATATAAAAAAAAAAGAAACTCGTTTATTTTTTTCCTGTATACTCCTGGATATTTTCATCATCATCTTTTTCCGGATTTTTCTCACGTACTTTTTTATCGCCATCTTTTCCTTTAACATCGGTACCACCACTACCAGTACCACCGCTAGTACCAGTACCACCAAAACCAGTACCACCAGTACCAATACCACCAGAACCAGTACCACCAGAACCAGTACCACCAGAACCAGTACTACCAGAACCAGTACTACCAGTACCACCAGTACCAATACCACTAGTACCAGCACCACTAGTACCAGTACCACCAGAACCAGTAATATCAGTACCACCAAAACCAGTACCACCAGTACCAATACTACCAGAACCAGTACCGCTAGTACCAGCACCAATACCACCGGTACCACTAGTACCACCGATACCCGCTCGACCGGTACTCGTATAACCCTCTATCACCCCCACCCCCGTACGTTTGACCAACCCCCCGGGCGTGATAATCCTAGCGCTCTGCGCTATATTATAAACGTTCCCCACCGTCGACAGCGTATCGCCCGCCAAGGTACCGGCCGGGTACCCGTACTTGTGCTCGACGATCCTCACCGTGTTGGCCTTCAAACTGGTACCCAACACCGCCGCCGACGTCTCCAAGCCTCGGTACACCGTCGAGAACCCTTCGACCGCCCCCGCCGCCACCGTCAGGACGCCCTTGATTCGATCGGAGGCTCGATCTTCGGGTAGGTTGAAGGCGCCGACGAGCAGGCGGGTACCGCCCCGTTGGACGTGCGGGGCCAGGTACCGCCCCAGGCGGACGGTGGCGGCGGCGACGCGGCGGGAGAGATAGCCGGTGAGTTTGGCGGCGGTGCCGGTGGCGGTTTCGGCGGCTCGCACGGTTCTGGTGAGAGGGGCGGGAGAGTGGTACCGGCGGGGTTCGGTTGGATTTTGTCGATGATGGCGGGCGTGGCGGTGGTGAGGTAGCTGCCGGCTTTTTCGGCGTGAGGACGAGGCCTCGGGAGAGGCAGAAGGCGCCTGGAAATTGGGAGAAAATGTTAATAAAGTAGAAAAATGTGGAAACAAGTGGAAACAAGTGGAAAAATGTGAAAAAATGTAAAAAAATGTGAAAAAATGTGAAAAACATGGAAAAAGTGGAAAAATGGAAAAAATGAAAAAAGTGGAAAAATATGGCAAACAGTGAAAAAGTGACAAAAAATTAAGAAACATGGAAAAACATGAATAAACGAAAGACAGAAAAAGTGGAAAAACATGAAAAAATTATGTAAAAAATAGAAATAACATGGAAAAAGTGAAAAACAAGAAAAAGTGGGGTGAATGCAAAAAAAATGTGGAAAAAAAGTATGGCAAACAGTAAAAAAACATGGAAAAATTATGAATAAGGTGGAAAAAATGAAAAAAAAATGAAAAAAAAAATGAAAAAAGTGAAAAACATGAAAAAACATGGCCAAGAGTAGGAAAACAGAAAAAATGTAAAAAAGCGGAAAACATGGAATAAATGGAAAAACATGGAAAAGTATGAATAAACGAAAGATAGAAAAAGTAGAAAAACATGAAAAAATTAAGAAACACACGGAAAAAGTGAAAAACATGGCAATAAAAACATGGCAATAAAAACATGGCAATAAAAACATGGCAAATTTGAAAAACATGGCAAAAAATGAAAAATTATGGAAAAAGTGGAAAAACTTGGCAAAAAGTGAAAAAACGTGTAAATAAGTGGAAAAAACACGGAAAAAGTGAAACACGGAAAAAGTGAAAAAAACATGGCAATAAGTGAGAAAACGTGGAAAAATGAAGAAAGTAAAAAAGTGACAAAGTTTAAAAAAAAAT